GGGGGGGGGGGCGAGGGGAAGGGCCAGATAGGCTGTGCCCGGAGCCGGGATGAACAGAAGGAGGACCACCCGACCCTTTAGGAACGGAATTCCCTGTCCTCCACGGCCACCCCAGCGTGGGAAACGTGTCGTGGACCCTTTAAGGCTCCATCTCCTTGCCCTCCCCGGCCCGGGACAAGCTGGGACACCCGGGACCTGACATTTGGCTTCTCCCAACGTGGGAGCTAAAAATAACCACCGTGAGTTACTTTAGGCCATTGCTCCTCGCGCACCCCGCGCGCGCGCTCGCGCGGTGTCTCAGGCCGCCCGGGTCCCCTCCCGGGCGAGTACACCTGGCCCGTTCCCTCCTCTCCAACCCCGCTGGCCCAACTCGCGGCGCAAGTCGCCTCTTGAACCCCAAAACCTTAGCTGGTGGGAGGAGTCTTCACGCGAGGGGTCGGGGCCTTCTGCGCTCCCAGAAGTAATTTTTCTCAAACCTAGAGGGAACCCAGGGGCGTGTCTCGCCGGGCACCGTGTGGGGTGTGGCCTGGCTGACCAACCCGCTATCAGGTGCCAAGCTCTAAACCCCGGGTTTAGGGAGGGGCGTGGCCTTCTGGGGTGTGCGGGCTCCTGGCCAATGGGTGTTGTGAAGGGCGTGGCCCGTGGGGGCTGCGGGGGCTCCTCGGGTCTTTTCCTTGTGGCCCAGCTCGGCCAGATCCCCCGGAGCCCTGCCGCTCTCGAGCTCCCTGGCTGGCGGCTGTGGGTCCCGCTGGGTCCACCCTCCTCACTTCAAGCCGGGACCCTAGTCGCCCCCGCGCCCTCTGCCCGCCAGGCTGGGCCGAAGACCCCCAGTCGCCTCCCTGTCTTTAACTCGCAGCTCCTTTGCCTCCAGCTCCTAAGACAAGATGCCGTCGGGCTTCCAACAGATCGGCTCAGAAGTAGGGTTCAGCATGAGGCGGTGGGATGGGGGCGCGGGTCTCGCTTTTCTCGGGCTGGGGTCGCAGCTGGGGTCAGCTGAGGGGCGGTCCCTGCGCAGGCGCAGGGGGTGGGGGTGGGAGACTGGCTATTTATACTCGTCTGGACAACCCGTGACTGTCGGATTCCAGTCCCTCCTGGAGGCTGAGGGAGTCTGGGGGACCGCTCGGGGCCACGGGCCACAACTGGATTTTGTGAGAACAGGGCTCGCCCCCTTCTCTAGTTCTCCGTGAATTGCGCCAGAATCAGTGACACTCTGCCCTCGATCTAGCTTGAGAAAGCAGATCCAGGCGGGTCTTGAACTCCAGGAGGAGCTTCTCTTGCGGCTCCTGGGCAGTTTTTCTAGGAC